ATAAAGATAACAATAAGATAAATATAGAAAATAGATAATACGAGAAAGAAAAAGAAGAAAATAGAAAGAAATAGAAGGAAATAGAATATTATTGAATCAATTACATAGTCTAAATATCATTATGACTAATTTTATCATGCTGCTTCTTTTGTTCACGTGTTCTTTTGAAATTATAGTCAATTTTGAATCGGTGACAATATTAACAAAAGTCTTTACAACTCATTCACATTATTTACAATTTTATTTTCACAATACTTATTACTTTTATTATATCCCATGAATTATTATATCAGAATATCATTATAATCTCATACAAAATTATTTTCTGGTTTACTATATAGACAAAAATTCTAATTTGAAATAATAGATACAAAATTCAAATTCAAAATGACAAATCATGTCACATTTTCAAAAATATTAAAAAAACAAATATTTATGTCAAAAAAAAAGGATATCCTCAAAATAACTCATTTTTATATATTTCACTCAACAAGTATTATTTTAATTCTAATCTCTACCAATGCAAATTTTTATCAGAAGAACACGACAATGACAACTGCTCCAAATTATATACACTCATTTTATATTCCAATATTAACATTACTAATATCATTAATTTAAAAATCTTTAGCAACAAATTAATGAATCTCTTAAACTCTGTGTAAGTTTTAACAAGTCACTAGTAACTAATCATATTAATTTTTTAAATATAGAATATTGATAATTTATAGTATTTTAGTTCTTATTTTTTATATTATGTATACTAAATTAGATACTACTATAAATAAGATTATACTATAATAATAAAAAAATAAATAATGTAATATAAGAATATAAAATGATATAAATATAAAAATCTTAACTAAATAAAATATAAACATATATTTTCAAAATTATCCAATAAGATCAAATATAATTTTGATTAATAATTAATATAAACTTTTATTATACAACAATACTAATATTCTTTAATAACTTGATTAATATTCAATAATATATAATTAATATAAATATTATAGTATAAGTTTAATTATAGTTAAATCTTTCTATAGTTACCATCCTCAAAAAACAAAATTTGATAATTATAGAGAGAATATGATTATAAAGAGATTTTTTTATTATATTTATATATAAATGAAAAACAAAATATAGTAATTATAAAGATATATAACTATAAATATGTGTAATTATAAAAAAAGTTTGACTGTATTTAAAATTAATTAATATATAAACTTTATTAATAATAAACAAAAAACAATTTATTAACTAATTAAATTTTGTATTGATTAATTGATAATTTATTTTGAGAACAAGAATAGATTTTTTTATATATCTTTTTTTAAACTAAGTATTTTATAAGTTAATTACAACAAAAATAACTTAATTTAACTAAAAAATAATAAGATAAATTCAAAAAGATTAAATAATATTTAAATTAGATAAATTATGTTTAAATTGGATAAATGATATTTTTATAATAATATAATATTTTGGATCATAATATTACTTTTTAAAAAATATAAATATACTATAGATTGAGATAAAAATAAATTAAAAATTTTCTTTAATAGAAAAGATTTCATCATTTTAATTATTATATATCTGATTAAAAACAAACTTAATGTGAATTGTACAATTATAACTCAAGATAATAAGACTTTGATCTTTAGCCAGCTCATGTCAATATCAGATCAAATTTCACAAAAAATAGATAAGGATGAAAATGACAATGTTTTATTTGAAAAGTGATATGCTTTAAAAGGATTCAGTCTAGATTCAAATCACCTAATCTTAATAAGACAAATATTGAAGATACTAAAAAAAAATGTGTGAATTGTAAAAAATATGAGAAAAGTTTATACAATGTATTCAAATCCATTACTGAGCTTAATGATTGCAATGAAGTTTTATATAAAAAGTGTGAAAATATCATTGAGTTTGTTACTGATAAAGAAAATATAAATTAGATATTGGATGTTATATAACTATTATTAGCTAAATTTTTATTTTTTTTAAATTCTTGTTCAAGCTGGTTAACTATATTAATAGGGATATTTTCATGCCCAACTTCCCACTTATTTTTTCTGTTGAATTCCTAGTCATATGTTTTTTAGTAATGGCGAATGAATTAGAATTTTGTACAGATTTGGTTCTTCTCTTTTCTGACTGTCTATCTGAAGTATTATTTTGGATGTAAATACTATTTCCGGGAGGGGGGAGGGTGGTGTTCATGATTTTCCCATATATCAATAACCTGATTTCCATTAATATGGAAATTTCTTACTATTTTATATTTTGCAACATCACGAACATTTTATGCACATGACCAGCTGTATGGAACGATCCGATACCTATTGATTTCTGAGGATACGAACCAATGAAACCAAGGAAAGATAGGGGTAAAAAAGAAGAGGATCCGAGGTGTTAAAATACTGTAAGGATGAATGATAATCCGCAGCCTATTGACGAAATCTATGGAACCCAGGTCGGGCCAGCTTACCCATAAAGCTTCCAAAAGAGGCTCTAAATCTCGAGGATCAGACACTAAATTTACATAAAGACAACTTGCATGGAAAGTCATAAATAAAACGCTGGATTCGACTTATGTTACCCTGGTAATCGATTTATAAGCCAGATTACTAATTATTTCTAGCTGATGCAGCAGTGATGACTTCTATGAAGCTTTATGCATTAATGTATTATACTTCTCTTGTATCGTTAGTATTTTGAGTAGTGTAATAAATGACGTGTTTAAACGACCATCAAAATTACCTGACCGATTCGATCTAGTATGAAGGATAAATAATTGGAAAAAATGATTGTAACGATTTAATCGACAAGACGTTGCTAAAATTTTTGCATCGAGTGCATCCTGAGCTTTGATACAAAGTAGAAAAGCATTTTTCTGCTAAATATTTGATTTTTTTATTTCAAATTGTAGTTTGATATTAATAATCGTAATTATTATCGTCTTTCTCATTTTACAAGCCCACATCAAATAATATGAACCAAACTAATCAACTATTTACTAATTGATTAATTAATTAATTCAAAAGATCATTAAGTGACATCACAGTTGACCTTTCATTGTGCTGCTGTTCATCATTTCCAGGTTTATCTTGATCATTATAATCGCGCATAAAAATATCCTCGTCCTCACGCCTATCCATGTACTCTTCTGCCGCTTCTTCGTCTTCTAGTTCATCATCGAATTGATGATCCCCAAACTCTCTTAATAGTTTTGTTATCGTCATTTTGTTGGTATTCCCATTCGGATATTTTTCCCTTAATAATATAAATAAAATAAAATTAAATTAAATAAAATTAAATTAAATTAAATAATAGTAATAATAATTTCAGGAAAAAACCGTGAAATCATATTACCTCGACGAACGCAGCACACTAATCAAATCATCTCGAAGTATTGTATTATGAAAGACTTGAATTATTTTACGACATTGATCGATACTGAATTGAAATAATGAGATAATTGTATAATATAAGTAACATCGTAAAGAAATAATTACTGAATTAGTCAATATTTACCTTGTGTTAAATCTTGTCTCATCGTATGGCAAATTAGTGCCATACTTCTGAATTCTATTGATTAACGACTAACAATAACAACAGTACATACCATAATATAATATAATATAATAATTGATGATGAAAGTTTCCATATGTTTACCTCCACAATATCAGGTTTAGGTAATGTAATTTTTTCCTCGGTCGTGTAACTTTTTTGTGGTAGCCATGGTGATGGATTCGTATTTACTCTATTAGGATCGATTAGAAACTGATGTTCAGTACCTTGAGGGAGAATGCTTAAATAGGAATCTTTGAAAAGGAAAGAACAAATATTTTGATGATGAGATGTTTTATAAAGAAAAACAGCACCACAAAGAAAAATAGGTATTCATTCTTACGTATCCCTTCATTTTTATTCGTGTTCGGTTCAATTATTCCATACCAATCATTCGCCAGTGGAATAACACCAACCAAGTTATTCGTGGTTAATGAATTGAACAACATGTAGAAAATGTCGTCTTCATGCTAAAAAAAATCACGAAAATTAGTGCTAGTCATTTTTTTAGAGAAATAGATCGCAAAGAAAACGATCGAAATTTACTTCATCTTTTAACCTTGTGCCTAACGTAATCCAATGCATCGAGATAACAGGAAACTTGACACTATATCGGGAAAATCCACTTATTGAAAGTGCTTGTGGCAATTCCGGTGCTTTAGGAGGTATGTTAATTTTAAATGATAATCAATAGTCCGTTTAAAGAAACACCAATGAATACATACATTCTTGATCCGCAAAAATAGTGATCAATCGTATCGGTATAGAAAAATGACCACACGCAAGTGTCTTTTCGTAAGATGCAAAATCCCCTTCATTTTCTTCTTCTATTTAAACCAAATATCATCATTAAACATACACACACATCATTTTGAAGAGCCGCAGTTAATTTTCCATCATTTAACAAACTTACCCAAATTTTTAAATATCACCTTACGATCGATATCCATTTTATTCAGATTCCTACGGTTGTTTATCACTGCTTTATATTAAAAAATGGATGATGGAAAATTCATCGGGTCATGTAATATTTATTGTGTAACCAATTACAGTTACTTATGTAAATTATTATATTTATTAACGCTAAGACAAAATTTGATGCGAGTGAATGTAATGCTGAATAAATTGAAAGGTGGTGAAAATTATGATATAGGAATTGAAGTATTTATATATTTATAAATTTATAAATTTATATTTAATATTTAAATATATGCGAATACAGAAAAAAATATGTGTATATAACAAAAAATCGAAGTATATATTTATATGTAAATTTATGTGTTTATATAGTTTTTTTATAAAACAGATGATAAAGTATCGAAAAAATGTACAAAGAAAAAACAGGACAGTTTGTATGTAAAAAAAAAGTTCGATGGTTTATACATATATGTAGATTATATGATTCAATTATCTCATTGATGATGATGATGATGATGATAACTAATATGATTCAAACAAAGATAATAATAATAATAATAATAATAATAATAATAATAATAATAATAATAATAATAACAACAGTTAATGTTATAGCTGTACATGAGTAGGTCTAAGGAATCCATCATACCTTGCAAATGGAGGTGGTAACGATGGATGTGATTGCGGTGATACTATTTGTTGCTGTTGTTGCTGTTGTTGTTGCTGGATATTATTGTTAAATTGATGATGCCCGATAACTTCATTGATAGATGGTTGTGTTTCTAGTGGGGGCGAATACATTGGCAAGATGTTGTTGTTGCCGGTTGTTCCGTAGCTAGTATTACATTTCCGGCACCATTCGATGACCTCGATCGATGCTTCAATCATTTGTGCATGTATCAAAGTATTCGATTTAGACGCGTCCAAGGTCTATACATTTCGAAATAATAATGAGATCAATCGATATGCATACACAAATATTTTGAGAAAATACAATCGCTCACCTTCCAATGTCCTTCTGCTATTCTTTCCATTGCATCATGTCTTCGTCGCTGCCATTCGATAGATGAACGATTATTTTCTTCGGATGTTGATTCACTAGAAGAATTTTGTTCTCGTTGTTGCTGTTCTCGTTGTTCTCTTTCTGTTCCAGACATGTTTAGAAAAAATACTAAATCTGGACTCAGGCTATGTGCATAACTAGATTTAGACCAATGGAGTTCCAGCCCATGAGCAATCGAAGCAGCGATGGACGAATTAACGTAACCATCGACGATTAACGTAGTTCCGTTAAGTAGATGATCTTTCATTGTCGGCCTATAAAGAAATTAAGTCCGATTAATTAACTGCGCTGATACAAAGAAGAAACATAAAGATTACTCACATCAGTTCCCACCAATGTGCAGCAGTTAACAAATGAAGTGTTTTCGGGGGTGGCTGACGGTTAGATTGTTGATAAGATTGCAAAGCATTTCCGGATGGTGTAGAATGATCAGGGAACTTCCATAATTTTGCTTTGATTCCTTCGTTCTTTAAGAAATCCAGTAACTTGTTAGCTTGCAATGACCTCGATCCAGATCCATCTTCACATCCTTCTAGGACAATCATTGCTCCACGAGCTTTTGTTATTGGGTTGATCGGAGAAGGAGGTAAGGATGTGGTGGCGGAGGATGAGGTGGCTGATTGTAGCGGTTGAATTAGGGTGTGTGGTGGTGGAAGACGAGTTGGAGTGGGGGGTGGTTGTGAAGATTGGGAATGAATGAAATAATTCTGTGGTGAGGAAGAATTGGAAGGAGATTGTAGCTGGTTGATTGAATTGCCGTCAATTGCATGCGAAGATGGTATTGGTGCTAATAAGGCCGACGGAGCTCTTGGTAATAATTTTGCCTTTAGGGCTTCAATGGGAGTGGCCCTAGTTCTTGCTTTATTATCGAAATAATGGAAGAATAAATTAAGAAATTGAGAATGAATTTATATTCGTCGTAAAAATTAAGTGATAAATTATAATTACCGATATTTCTCAATTCTTTGGAACCTCCATTAATGATCACAACATCTTTTCGTTTCATTTCACGATTGACAAGCCCAGCAATATTGTTATTTCCGTTAAGCATTCGCATCTCATCAATCGGCAAAATATCTGTTCTCGGAACTGCATGATCGTCGTCCAATTGTTGGCGTTCCTGTCGCTGTAACGAAGATCCCTCATTCACAAAATTATCCACGTATTTCCCTTGTGAATCTTCCATCAACGCACCATTCGGTGTATGTATGGTGGCCTTACGAAACGTGGTAGTTTGTGACCCGACTCTTCGTCTTGGCTGATATTTATAGTCAGGATAAGCTTTCATGTGATGTTCTTTGGCTTCCTCTGCTTTACGCTTCCACTTTTGTTTATCTTGGTCATTAAGATTTCGCCAATGATCCGCAATAATACGAGAAATTTCTGAATTATTAATACCAGGGTTTTGATTCAAGATTAGTGGGTGATGATGTTGTCGATAGAGAATAAATGAGTTTGGTGGGCGTGGAATGTAAGGTTTCTTGCGAATTTGTTTACCACTAAATGTTGATGGTGGTAATATAACACCACCAACACTACTAGTACTTATACCTCCTTCGTTGTTATGACTATTCCCACCCCCAGTAGCACCATTCTCTATTGTCGTGTGGGTCGAAGGAGGCATATTTGAAATAATTGTAGCAGATGACAAATCATCCGAAGCTCCATCATCGACAGTCGCTATGTCCTCGAATCCAGCAGAAGGTACAGGCGATGGCGCTCTTGAGTTGGCAATATCTTCAGATACCATTTGATCATCATCGTCTTCGTCGTCATTCTCTTCATTTTCATCATTACTATTAATATCGGTAGTGTTTTTACTGTTTTCTGATATTGAAACACGTCGACGTTTATATAACAATAAAAGAGCAGTAGCAGCAGGATCGGCAGAATTATCAAGAATAACGTTATGATGATGAAGATTATGACGTTCATCGAGATTCTCTTCGTCGAGAAAAGAATTGTTATTATTGTTATCCAGTTGTTTTCTTTTTCTATATTCATTAATGTTTTTATTGTTGTATCTATGTTGTTTTTTTGAGTGGTGGCTGTTCCCAAGTTTTTGTTGTTCATTTTCCACTTTATTTCGCCATTCATCATGATTAATTAAATTCGAAATACTTGTCACTGACAGTCTTCCTTGCTGTGCCAGATCATCATTAACATTAATATCATCCTTAGTTAGAGACGAAGAAAATATATTACTTTGAGGATTAATATTCGAAGGAGACGATGATCGTGATAGGGAAGATTTTAATATTGATGTGTCAGTATTGTTATTAGGATTATCGGATTCTTCTTTGGTCACTCTTGGATTTGAAGTATTAATATTGAGTTTCACTCGTGGATCCGATAGTGATACTGTTGCCACCGCCATTCTTTTGGTGATATGGATTATTTTTTTTGTTGCTATGTATGAGCTGAGCTAAATTTATAAAGAAAGAAAAAAACGTTTTTTAGGCTCGAATCCAAAAACAATGATTATATATATATATATATATGTAATAATGAGAAGAAGGATTGATACATTCAACTGGGGATGGATCGAACCAAATAAATTGTCGTAGCAGTAACATACCTATTTACAAAGCAAGGGTTTTGCTGCTTCTCTTTTTTGATCTATGATTATGATATTTATTATATTCTATTTTTCTTTGGTAGGAGTATGATTTTCCGTTTTCGTATTGACCTGTTTTGGATTTTTTGTTTTTTTTTTCAAGTTTAATTAATGGTCTTAAGAATTTAATACTCTATATCAACACACAAAAAATCAAAATGGCCGAATAGCCGATCAGTTTCATGTTTTAAGCAGGAGGAGAGAGTCCCGAATGTTTCGGATAATAATTGATGACGTGTCGAACATGGTGGAAACGAATTAAATTTGTCATCCATGTGTTTGTTCGTTACACACGCAAAGTTACATAGAGAACAATGACACGATAGATTATGTGGAGAACGCGTTTGATTCGGTCATCGAGATGCATATAGAGGAAATGATGTGGGGATGTGATAATGAAGAGAAGAATATTCGGATGGTTAGCGTTTCAACTTCGGAGTTTGTAATTGATCAATTGAATTGACGCGATATATAAATAGTTGATCGAATATAATGCGCGAATCAGCCTCGTTTTTTACTTGCTTACTTTTAATTATTCTTTTGGTTTTTTTCTTTATACATCAATTAATCAGGATCTTTTTTAAACGGAAATAAATCTCTAATGATGTGTAGGTGATATTATTTATCTAATAATGTCGTTGTTCTCCACTATCAAAAAAAAGAAAAAACAGAACAAGGAACAAAACATGTAACCTTCGGGAGAAGATAAAGAAACTAAATCTAATTCGATTGAATAGAGTATATATAATAAATAGACAACTGATCAAGATCTGCGAATATATTCGGATCACACACACATATATATATAAAATACTAAATAAACGAATCACTATTACGATTATATATACATACTGACCTTTAATTTTGCACGACGAAAGCAGGTTACGACGACACAAGGGAATAAAGAATGATGACAAGTATGCCCAATAATATCCCAAAATATACAACGAAAAATAATATATATATATCTAAGAGTAATTTGAATGCTTATATAATATTATGGTGGTTTGTCGTGTGATTTGGTTGGTTGGAACTTTTTTTTTTCTTTCTCTCCTCCTTCCTCTTTTCTTTTCGCGCAAACAAAACAAAATATATTTTATAATAAACTACAACTCTTGTGGAAAGGAGCGAATATATACGTGTTTGAGCGTGGGCGCAAACGTTAGTATGAGAAAAAAAGAATTCGACAAAAAGTAAAAAAAACGAAAAAGAAAAAAATATCTCTTTCTTTTTTTGGCACCACTATTGAAACAACCAGTCAGGGTGAGACGCTGAGTATTTATAGTCGCAACTTTATTTATATTAGAACAAAGGAAATAATAAAGAGCTAATAAATAATCATAATAATGTAAATTAATGTGGGGAGGTGTGTTCTATTTTCTCTCGAGTTTAGGGTGCGTGCCAAATAATTATAAGAGAACAACAATAATGTTAAAAAAAAATAATGGAGATATTGCTTATAATAGAAATTAGGTTGGTAGATTAGAATCCCAACATAATGAACGAATGGATGATGATATAGGATTGGATACTTAAAATTAAAAGCTTATTGTTCTTGGGAGCGACACAATAAACAACAACTGGTAGAATGTGCTACTTAACAATTAATTACTAGTTTAATTATCTATTGGTCGTGAAAAAAGAGAAAACTTTTTGTGGATGCATCTAAATACCTAATCATATATACATTCATTGTATGTATGTACTGACAGATGACGATTATATAATGATGATAATGGATAGACAATGGATTATTATTTATTTACCCATTAATTATTGAATAATGAGCAGAATCGATTAAGCATAGGAAAACTTTCTTGGTATAAGCAGCGTTTCAAAACCTCTCCTCTCGCGTGCGAGCGTGTGTGCGTGCGTATCCTTTGGGGAACGAAGGGTATGTATGTACGAATTATCAGAATAAAAGACCGCGATTTTTTTTCATATTAAAATAGATTCCAAAAAAGTCGAACAACCTCACAACAAACAATTAAAATAATGACGGATAAGTTAGTCAGTCGTCACCCACGATTGCCGCTGCTAATACATAGTTCATTTCACACATCCCCCGAAATTCAAAACAATGTAACCACTACCAAATATGGAGTTGAACTGTTGTTGTTTGTTCCTTACTCGTATCCCCCCCCCTTTTTCTTTCTGATCTTTCATGAATATGTTACTGACCGACTGACGATGTATGACACATAAACACTAATACGCGGTAATACGTGAAGTAACAAAGAAAAACGTGGTTTGGTTCCCTTTCCTTGTTGTGGTTTAGGATGACACTGGAATCTGAATTGATCTGAAAATTTTTTTCATCAAGTTGCGGATTTTCGTCGATTCAATTCGCTAATTATTACTTGTAATTTAACTCCTAATTTGTTTGGAAATCATCACGACGATGCCATTGTATTTTGGAAAGTCATTGTGTTTTGTAAAAAGTATAAAATGATGAGAAATAAAAAAAACTGAAAAACTTTTTCCCATCTATGACGTTAAACAATCAGGTGTCATTCATTCATGTTATTGGATTCATTCTTCCCTTTAATAATCTAATCTCAAGAAACAGACATAAATAAAAAACAGGTTTTATATGGAAGAAAAATTAACCATCGCAGATCTGTGTGTGTTACTTTCTATGGCCATAGAGAAATTTGTATTCTTTTCTCGATCGATATCGGATCAATGTCTGATCGATTTCTGTGTAATTTTTTTACCATAACGGCGCAGAAATAAATCAATTGCTTTTCCAATGAAAAAATTTAATTAAAAAATGCATAGAAAATGCGTAAGCTCACACGCTCTTTCCTTCTTCCTTCTTTCCTTTATGCACTCTCTTACATGTATCGGAAGAATTCTAACCAAGTAACTAAACTTAAATTGCATAATGGATCATTCAACGTAAATGACCCCATTATTAATTCACCAATTATTGTCTATTTTAGATAATGATCATGGCGCGTTCTTTGATGGATTACACACTTGTTAATAATTGCTTGCATATTATTACTCGAAGTTGATCACAACCTAAATATATCTAACTTTCCTTTTCCCTCTTCGCTTTTTACTCTACCCCTATTTTCCCTCTTAATTATCTAACAATCTCTTGTTTCCTGAATTTTTTCGCCACTTGATGTATTTCGTTCACTTTGCATTGTCTTTTTCTTGGACAAGAAGAGAAGACAAGAAGAGGGGACAGAATCCAAGAAGAATTCAAATATACGATATTACTAATATGAGTATTTTGTGCTTGATTTTTTAATCGTCCACTCGCGTGAATTAATAATTGTTAATATTACACACAATCAACGAAAGTCCCCTCCAAAAGATACGTGACGAGTATACGCAATTATTACTTATGAAAGAGCACAGGATGATTTAAAGTTTAAAGGCACAAATGCCAATTCTTTCTCTCGTATAAAACACATCCCCCTTTCAATTAATGTAATGTTTTGGATGTGAACTATAATGATCAATCGAATTGGTGAAAAACGGTTAACGCGAACACAAAAAAAACAGCAACAATAAAGAATAATAGTACAACATACTATAAAGGGAAAACAGGACCGAAACTAGTTCTCTTACATGCGTATATACATATATGCATTCATGTATTCGTTTATCTCGAAAACTCCAAAAAACAATGCCTATGTGGATTTTTGTCCTTTTTCGCTTTCATGTGAAACATTAAATTAACAAACACGCGATATAAGACGCGTGGTTGTCGCTCCGTTTTTTAATATAGCATATAAACTTGCGATATATTATTACTATTAGAATATTTTTAATATGGAAAATCTTTTAATATCACATTGATTTTCTTTATTTAGTCCAAATTAGATGAATTAAAAACTTTGTTTAAATTAAAAATTGTTTGAACATTAATTTCAGCTACTTAATGAATAAGAAGCATCTTAGAAATTTCCCCTTATCGAAATGCAGAGAATTTATGAAAGAAGTTTTGTGCATAATCATCCTGACAAAACGTAATTAATTTCTTACGACTAAGCATCATCACGAAAAATAGTATGACTCTTTGCATAATTGTTCTCAAACCATACAGAAATGTCCTTTACCAGCATTAACAGTGGGACATTATTCAACCCTGGAAAATTAAGTACGTGGTTTGGATCGGAAACATACCTAAAAGCAATCAAGGGAGTTTCGCATTTTTGCTCCAATATTCTTGTTGACAATAATGTTCTTATGCTGGGAATTGCAAGCATTTTCTATTGCATTTATCAAAGGATTAGTATATAACTAATCAGCAGCCGAGCACATTGATCCTTTGATTTTGATTAGTAAAGTATTTTATTGTTTTCAAATTTAAATAATTATATTTTTTCTCGATAACGAACCAAATCGCGTCATTTTCTAAATGTAAAGTCTATCAAAGGAATGTCTTGAATGAATATTTGATTTTCTTAAGGATGACAGCAGCATTGTTAGCTGGTGTTGTGTCATTTGATGATGAACAAGGCATAAGCATTAGCGAAGCAATTACTCAATGTACGAATGATTGATGCTAGACTTAAATCTGCATTTCGTATATATATCAGAGAATTTGATTGGAATAATAGAGTCCGTGATTGGCTGCAATATTGATTGGAACGAAGAAAATCTTGCCACCTGCGAAAATTCAATTTGGCAAGGATGAATGAAATCGCAAATAATAACACGAATAATAAAACAAATTTGTAGGCTTGTTTTAGAACTGACGACAATATCGAAAACTTTTCGGTCGGTGTTAAGGAAGCGCGTTATTCCATTCTCGACTTTATCGAACTACCAAATACATGTGTTGATATGGCAAATTTAAAGTCGCCAGAGTAGCATATATATAAGGAAGATGTATCTGTGTATCTTGTAATTGCATTGATCATGGTGGAAGTGGATTTGAATAGAATACAGAGGGTGGCCAGAAGTCACCGAACACTATATAATCTTTGAACCATAATTTTTTAGCAACTAGTAATTAGAATTTAATGATTTTTAGTGCATTTGTCTTATACACACCCCTACCGCTACAATATATTACCGGAAATTTCAAAAATGAATTTGTCACTTTGGAACCCGATATCTCGACATCCGGTGATCCCATTTGAACAAAGATATCACCGTTAGATTCGTCTCGACTATGCGAATTTGATGGTGATATCTTTGTTCGAATGGGATCACCGGATGTCGAGATATCGGGTTCCAAAGTGATAAATTCATTTTTGAAATTTCCGGTAATATATTGTAGCGGTAGGGGTGTGTAGAGGCGAACATTTATACAAACCAAACCAATATTGACTGAATTATTCTATTTTAAAGTTATTATAGTGTTCGGTGACTTGTGGTCACCCTCTGTGAATGCTAAAATTGTCAAACCATCTGGAAGAGGTTGATGATCAACACATGAACTTTCTAACCATGCCACATGCATCTGCGTAAAAATGAAGCATAGTTAAAAGTTGGTTGTCGTATAGTCTGTGGTCGACTAATTTGGTTGGAATGCAAATACTCCCATGTTTCTTTCGAAAAACTTCCAATAAACTCCTGCAATAATATTATGTCTATAATAATCGCGTCGTAATTTTCAAATTATTCAGAGATTCAGTCACCTTTCTTGATCAACGGAAAAATTAGAAAAATATCACAACCATCCATCAATTAGATTTTGATTTGTCTGATATGACAGATACAGTTCTGATTTCCATAACAGAGCTTACGACGCAAGTGTTATTTGACGTTTGTGGAAAAAATGCTAATATTGAACATACTCTTAATGTTGTTTCAATCAAATCATTCTTCAAAGTACTCATCACACTTCGAGACTTGGAATTTCTCTCGAGCATAAGCCCATTGGGTAAATTCGGAATTGCGATGAATTCTGGACAGCATTATCTCATAAATTGAATGGCAACATAAACTTCGGAGAATATGCTTCACTAACATTTATCAAATCATGTCCAAACGAATAGGGTTCACAATTTTGATAATAGGAAGCGATTCTCAAATTCTGTCAAGAGATAAGCTTTTGTCAATGTTGGATCATATTCTTTTAGATATCCTTGAGATTGGTGAATAAGCTTACTATTAGAAGGTATTTATAATTATTATCTTGATATGAAAACTGCGTCTGCGCAGAATCGCTGCGTAAAAAGCACACGTGAAACCATGACGTCATTTAACACATGCTTGCAATAACGCCATAATCAAAAATGTAACTAAAATTAATGATATTTTCTTTACCCTTCCTCTATAAAACTTTAATCTAAAAGCCATTAGAATAAGAATTTTTGAAGAAATTGCGCCATGAATCTTGAATTTGGCAGAAAAAATAATTGATGTTCATCAAACACAGGTTGGTTAATTTCAGGGTATTAGCCCCTGAAATTATTTTGTATCACCATGTTGGTTTTGTTGCGTATAATACAGGTCTCTACTTTTTGTAAACACATAAAAACCAAAAGTTTACTCGAGGAAATTTCGTTTCTCTTTCCTTGTCAAACTTAGGATCTAAAACCACACATTTGCAGTCCAAAGCTATTTTACGTATCTATCTTACTTTTATACCTCAGCATTTTTTTTCATGTTTGGCTCGGGCTTCGGAAGTTCACAACAACAGCAGAACCCTCAACAGCAACAACCGCAAACGTCGTTGTTTGGGGGTGGTAACACCGGGTTTGGTAATTATCAAAAGGAGTCTTTTTTTGCTTGATCACGGAGTATTCACGTAAAAAGGCACAGAGAATCCCATTTTTTGGGTTAATAAATTATTGAGATTGGAATTACGCGTCTTTCGGTATATGTTATTTGATTTCTAACATTTCTTGGATTGATATAGGAACCTTTGGTGCACCTTCGTCAGCACCTGGGACAGGAGGGTTTGGTGCTGGTGGCGGGTTTGGAACAGCCCCTAGCACTAGTTCAAGTACGACGCCTTCATTCGGTTTTGGTGCAGGTGTGTAAAATTTTTTAATAAGAATTAGAGAATTGTCAGAATTTAAACCATGAAATATTTACTCAATTTACGCGTCTCCTTCTTTTCTGGCTAGCGAGTACACCACAACCTACTGGTGGTAGTTTATTTGGCAGCGGAAATACATTTGGAAGTAAGTTAATAATTAGGTTGATGGATTGAAAAAATATTAAACTGAATTTGTAGAATTTAATAAGTAATGATTACTTTGTATTCTGAATTTTCTAGCGTTAGGAGGTACCCCATCAACAGCAGTCGTTCCTGCTACAGGAACAGCTAATCCTCCATACACTTCGACCACTGAAAAAGATGCACCGGCGGGCGTTACAAATCATTTTCATAGTATAAGTGCCATGGCTGCATATAAAAACTTCTCATTTGATGTAAGTGTTATTCTCATTATTCTTTGCCTATTAGAATAAAATTAAAATCAAACATTTTCTGAATGAATAATCTTAATTTTTAAATAGGAATTACGAGTTAAAGATTATGAATTAGGCAGAAAACCTAATGTCTCGGCTGCTACAAACGTAATGGGAACAACAGGAGTTAGTGCTTTCGGTGCTACTCCTACAACATCCACAACATCGGGCGGCTTTGGTTCGTCAACAACCACTCCAGCATTTGGTGCTTCTACCACTACCACTACGCCGGCATTTGGAGCCTCCACTACCACACCTGCATTTGGAGCTGGCACTGGTTTCGGTGCTTCAAGCACAACAACAGGCTTTGGTGCTAAACCGGCTACTACAGGATTTGGAGGCTTTGGTGGTACAAATACAACATTTGGATCGACAGGCACTACCGGAACTACAAGTGGAGGTTTATTTGGTAGTACGCAACCAAAACCTGCTACAGGATTCGGTAATGCGAGTACTGGCACCACAGGATTTGGCACTCTTGGTAGTGGTGGGCTTTCCACTGGATTAGGTACGAGTACTACTCAACCAACAGTAGGAACAAGCGGAAGTATGTAAAAGGATTAATAATTGCAATTCTTTTTTGATTAATGTGATCTTTAGTACTTGAATATTAATGTTTAATTTTTCTTCCTGAATAGCTGGTAATTTCTTTGGTTCAGCATCTACAACTGGAGGAACTTCATCATTATTTGGAAACAAACCTGCAGCGACAACATCAAATACTCTCACTGCGAGTCCTTTCACACAGCCATCTACCACCACTGGAACAGGCACTGGCTTCGGAACTGGTTTCGGTGGATTTGGAGGTAGTTCATCTATTTCTGCTATATTATGTGTAGTCAAAGTTCATTATAGGTTATTTCTTAAAATCGATTAAGATTTAATTGTTGTTCGATTTTAGGAATAATATTGTCCTTTTTCGTGCTTTGATTACTGCAATAGATTACTTACAAACAATATTAACTAAAATTATCAATATTTTGACCATTATAGCCCAAAAACCTGCTACTGGCGGATTATTTTCAACTACACCTTCGACATCTGGTAACGTATTTGGTGGTTTTGGTAATTATATTGATCTGGCAACTAGGGGAATAAAGTATACGTGTTTCTTTAAATACTAATATTTCTTAACAAAATAAATAGCTACTAATGCACAAACAACAACAGGGGCTGGTACTAGTACCGGAACTGGGTTTACAGGTTTCGGGAATGCTGCACCTAAACCTCCAACCTTTGGTGGTCTCGGTACTCAAACAGGTATAAATTGATTTAATTTACCAAACTATCATTATTGCATTTTTTATTTTCGGAGATCTTTAATTCTCTGTTTGTTTATTGACTTAGGTGGTACAACCGGCCAAACGACAACTGCACCTGCAACTGGTGGTCTTTTCTCCAACTTAGGCAGTACTCAGCAGCCATCAACAACCAACACCATGAACACCACCGGCACAACAGGAGGCTCAGGTTTTACAGGTTTCAGTTTTGGTTCTAATAAACCTGCCACTGCTAGCACACCAGGATTCAGCTTATCAACACCCGCACCTGCTGGTGGTACTGGGTCGACGTTCTCACTGACTGGCACGACTAGTGGTGCACAACCAGGAACTACTCAAGCTGGTACTTTCACACTTCAACCCCCAAAAACAACTGGTGTTGGTAGTAGTGTTGAACAAACTCCATACGGTACATTGTCAATATTTAATGCAGCAACGCCAACAGGGACTACAGCAGCGGCCGCTGTAACGCCTGCACCATCTGGAACACCAATTTCCACTATTCGCAAGAAACCTACAACTCCCCATTATAAGCATTCACCGCAGCCTGCGTCTAGACTTAAACCTCGAGTTTATACACCTGCTACACATGGAACTCTAACAACTCCAATTACTAAAACCCCTCTTCATATTTTCGAAGGATTGAATAAGCATGAGGCATTAAAGCCAGATGCTTTTGTACGTAAACCGAAAGGCTTAGTCATTGATAATAACAAAGTACCCGAGATTGGATTAATGAGCGCATCGAAAGCTGATGAGACGACGACAATTGAAACTACTACAAATGGATCAGGAATTTCAAGAAGTGAATTTAAAACACCAGAGCCTAAAGCTGGCCCATCGAAATCTCCATTTGAAACTGGATTTGACTTATTTAAACACAATCAAATAATTGGCAAATTGGGTGAAACGTCAAAAACTTCTTCACCATTTAAAACTCCAACACACACTCCCGTAAAAACACCTAATCCTAGATTACTTTCACAACAAACCCCCGATCAATTTTTATCTGAGCCATCGACACCTTCACCTATTGTCTCACGAAAAAATGGTATCTCGCAAAATGGAAAGGCAAGAGCAGAAGAATCATCATCATCCTCACGAGGTGATGGCTATTGGATGAGTCCGTCACTAGATGAATTAAAATCTATGGATAAGGAAGACATAAAACATGTCAGTCATTTTCAAGTTGGAAGAAGTGGCCACGGTCAAGTTTCTTTCGATGATGAAGTTGATCTTAGTTCAATACCACTTGAACAAATTCCAGGGAAAATAGTGCAATTTGTTAATCGAACCTGTATAGTATATCAGGATGGATGCGGAGTAACTAAACCCCCAGTAGGTCAAGGACTTAATCGCCCGGCTAAAATAACAATTCAGGGATGTTGGGCTTTGGATAAAAGTACTCGGAAGCCAATCACTGATCCGAATGATCCAAGATTTAGACAGCGAATTAATAGACTTAAAGCAACTCCTGAGACTACATTTATTGACTTCTTTGCGGATACTGGTTCTTGGCTTTTCCATGTTCGTCATTTTAGCAAGTATGGCTTGGAATTAGATAGCGAAGAGGACGAATATGAAGAACGTGAATTCAAACCACATCATGCTACACCAACTTCTCAAATCAGAAATGATGAAAATACTCCCTTTTCTACACCATCATCTAATAGTAAAGATGCATCCAAAAAGACAACCACGCCAGCGAAAGCATTTTCCGAAACTTTACGCTTGGATCCCAATCGAGTTTTTCAAATGACCAATACACTGTTTCCGAGTTCGAGTGACAAACAGAATGTTATCGCAACCTCTGACTTTTATAGTCCGAGTCCCAATACACGTGGAAAAAGAAATATTGACACGAGTCTCGAAATGGAAATCGAACCAGTGCCAGATTTGGGTGAGAAGGTGGAGGTGAGTTTGGATTGAGTGAGTGTACCTCTTATAGATTCAATTTTGTATTATTATTCATTCTAAATATTTAGTTGTGTGAACAAATTTATTTCTATTTTTATTCCAAATATCAAGTTATTTAGTTAAATCTTCCCCCACATATTTACCGTTAGTTCTTAAAAATTTATTCCTTTTAAAGATGAATGTAATTTCACGAATTATATCTTTATAATGTTCATCATATGTGTATAGTATACAATAAACCAATTTCAACAGAAGTTATATCGAGAATGTTTTACGCAAATCCATTTGTTTTTACTGAGAAAATTTTATTTTTTAAATGCATTTATATGATTTGATAGTCCCGAAAATCATTCGTGACAATACCACCACCTATTCCGCAAACGCAGTTCATTTTTCGGGGTAGACCAGCAAAGTTTCGACGAATAAATTATTCTGAATCAATATCATACCAAAAAGATGGACTAGTAGCAGACGCAGGACTCGCAATGTCAAGATCTTTTCGAGTGGGATGGGGTCCTAACGGCACATTTGTACATTGTGGTACTGTTTGTGGAATAAATACAGTTAAATGGTGATTATGATTTTTCATTAAAGAACATGTAATCCTTTGCTATGTATGATGTTGACGACTACTTTATGAAAAAAGGAGGAAAGATTCATCACTATTATTGAAGGAGACTGAAACTGGATTACCAACTACCATATATTTCGAAAAGTTAAAAATGTTTGCTGATCCCGATGAGGTTTGTGATGATGAAACGCAATGTCAATTCATAATTTCCAGCCTCAAATAATAGGAATAAAATTTATAGGAGCGGGAAAAATCACGTCACATTCAAATGTTGAAGTCGCTTTTACAAAACTCAACGATTTCTCGTGATAAAAATGGAATACCATATGTCAGCACTAACTCTAATCATACGTATTCGGTTTTCGCGAAAGTAACAAAAAATAGTAAAGTGTTTACTGATCACGAAAGGTCTCTTTGGAGATTGGCGCAAATTTTATTCGATGATCTTGATCTTGATAAGTTCAAAAAATTTGAGGATGATCCAGATCGGAAAGAAGTAGAACTTCAGAAATACCGTAAAAAAGGGATATCAGAATGGCTGGAGGCGATTGTCAAAAAAAAGGCTGAAACACATGTTAATGAATGTATTGCCAAACAAAACACATATGGGACAATTATTGCCCATCTTAGTCAACATCAAATAGGACAAGCTGCGCTTAAGGCAGTGCAAAATCATGATTTACATTTGGCTACGTTAATCCCACAATTGTTATCATGTGATCCCCAATTTAGATATCTTATTGAACAACAACTTAATCATTGGGAAGCTACCGGTGTGGTTAATTATATATCGAATGACTATTGGATTGTTTATCAGATTTTAGCTAGCCATATCTTGGAGGTAAATGTGAGCCAAAAATTGGATTGGAAAAGATCACTAGCCATGCACGTATGGTACGGGTTACCAATTGAAACTGAATTTAAGGAAGTATTTGAACAATATGATGATTCATTTCAAAAGGAAGAAGAACTTTCTTCCCCGATTGTCTGGTACAATGAAGAAAAAAGTAACGAAAGGCTTTTAACTTGGAAAAATCTTTCTTCTGACACTAATGATCAACAACAGAAGGTCTACGATGTTTTATATCATCTACTCAAGCTTTTCGTTGAACCTGCTTATCCTCTTGAGGATATATTGTTTCCGCAATCTATAACCCCGTCTCCAATCGATTATCGTGTATCTTGGTTCCTTCAACTCTTGTTAACACGTTCTACTGAAGAAGATGATGACACATTAGGAAATGAGACTTTGTTTAACTCTGTGACTTGTAGTTTCATGTCGCAGCTTGAACGATTAGGATTATGGGAGTGGGCATTATTTGTAGGCTTACATTTCAAAGATGGAAAGATGTAAGAAAGATATCTATTGTTATATTTCTTGGTTTTTAACAAATTAATAAAATTATTTCATTAGTCGAGAACGCATAATTAAAGATCTATTAACGCGTTATTGGCCATTAACGAAGAAAGATCGAAAAGATTCAGATGATTCTGCGGTGACAGAAATCCACGATTTCTTGATTAATCGTTTGAAATTGAATGAGAACGATATTGCCATGGCTAAGGTATTACTTTATATTTTTTCTTATAGAATATATGCCGTATGGCTAACGCTGTATAGAAAATCTTTTAGTATTATGTATACACTTGATATATGTTAACGAGCAGTAAAGTCCTATCCTAACATTTAGATAATATACACTCGTATTTCTAGGTTATTGAAGCTAAATACCATGGAAATATTTATATGGAAGCTAAGCATTGTTTGGAAGTTGGTTTATATGCGATAGGGCATGATCTGATTATAAAGGAATTTGCGCCTGAAGCAATACTTCACGAAAAATACGGAATTCTTTATGAATTCCTTGAACAAATTGATTCGTCAGCAGTGCCCAATTGGATTTCTGGTGGAGCGGTAAGGATCATCAAGAATTTTCTATTATTATTACACAAAAGCTGATGATTGTTTCAAATTGACCTATATTCACGTAGTTATATATGAACATAATTGATCTGATAAATGACTTCGTTGAAAAATTACCCGAGGTTGGAATTCAAGAAATTGATAAGGATGAACTTAATAGGCTCTGTCATGAAATATTAAATGTGCTTGAGACTATACAGCCAGAGAATCGGCTACAAGAACGTTGCTTCGCATCTGTAGAGATGAAGGCACAGGAAATGCTAAAAACTCTTGATAAAGCACTGCGTCATGATTCAATGGCATTTTCTATCGATGAAGAATTGTAACCAAATAAATGCATCTTATATTTGATAAATAAAAAATTATAATACATAAATTTTTTATTTGATTGTTTTAGTTTTCATTTTTTGAAAAATATATTTTTTATTAGAATTGATTATTATATATATAATATAAAAATTTTTTTCTGTTATATAATTGAAATAATACAATGCAAAAAAAATTTAATAATAAAATATAGTAAAAATATGAAAATATAAAAAATAAAAATTTTTCTTTTTATATAATAGTTATTAATAAATATCTTTTATTTTATATTAAATAAAAATAATATTATATATAATGATTAAAAAATTATGAAATCATACATGTGATTTTATTAATAAAAATTGAAATTTTTGTTTTATATAAAGTTCTCAATTTTATTATAAATATTTTAAATAATATTTATTATTAATATTTATTATTAAACTAATATTTATTATTGATAATTTTTTTTAAATAATATTGTTATCATTATTATTAAAATTTTCATAATTATTTAATTTTTGAATTAACAAAAATTAAGATATAAATCAATGTAATATAATGTAATTTAATAATAATTAAATTAATTTTTCTCTTTATTTTTATATTATATTTTATTATATAATTATATTTAATATATATCATTATTTTTTTAATATCTAAATATAATACTTAATATAGAGAACTTCCAGAATATTGTGAATACTTTTAAAAATATAATACTATAAAAATCAATAAAAAATATATTTTATTATTATAAGCTAATAGATTTACTAAATCATAATATATATTATTTTAAAATTTCAAGTGATTTAAATTATTGATTCAAAAAATATATAAAAAACATAAAATTTAAATTTTTTTGTTAAATTAAAATTCATTTCACCAAACTATGATATGTTTTGTCTGATTTTAATATATGTTTAGCCAAATTAATCTTGCAAATCTAATATCAATACTTTATTAGTCCTTCCCAGCTTTAATACAAGTATTAATATTGTTATGAGTTCTGGACTCGGATAGGTATCTTTATGACATAAATATTCAATCAACATCTATTATAATTTCTTGATTATTTGTTAACTTTGATCTAGTTATGTTAGGATCAGTGCACATTGTAACTTTTTCTATTTTATTAAGATAGAATAGAATATCACTACTATTAATAAATATTTTCTTTTTGTATTTATTTAATATGTGAATGATCCTATATAAATATAGTACTAATATTCTATAGTAACCTGGTTTTGTATTTTTATTAATTTATTATTGTCAACCATCCACTTTCGTCATTTATATTTCTTTCTTATTTAAAATCTGCTGTGAACACAGTCACTGTTAACCATTTCTAAATATTCTCATACGTAAGAACTAGAAACAGTAGCAATAGAGAATTATTGAAAGATAGTAAATACACAATATCATTAATCTATTATGAAATTGGAAGAATACTATCAGATCTTACCAGTAATTATAAATTAACTAGAAGATAGCATTCTGACTCTAGATAATTATTCAAAGAAAAGATAAGTATTATTGATACTACTTTTAAACATGCTTTAATCTTAAGAATATATCAATATTTCAAGAGTCACAAAAATATATTCTGATCTTACAAAATGAATAAACAATTAATCCCAAGAACAATTAGAAAAATCAGTCAAAAGATCAGTAATCAATTAAAAAAAAGAATCACATTATATATCTTATATAGCACCAACTATTAATAGAATAATAGACAACTATTTATTTGCTCCTTTTTTATATTATCTTTTATAATTTTTATAGTTTCATCAGAAAATTTCTATACCCGTTGGCAATCAATTTATAATCATGCCCATTGGCAATCAATTATCAACATCCCCATCATTCACTATCGATAGGGATTACAATTAATTGTCAGCAATTATAATCGCTAACAATTGATTACATTCAAAAATCATCGAAGAACATCGTTAGCAATTGATTGTAACCGCTAGTAATATAAAACGATGGTGTGTTGATAATTAATTACCAATGGAAATTGTCAGCAATTGATTGTCAATGAGTTTCATTCGCAATCGATTGCAATCACAATCGATACCAATCAGTAGGGATGTTGATAATCAATTGTCAATGTATAAGGTAGCTAATCGATTACTAGTGAGAATTGATTGCAATCGATTGCAATTATGATCATTGCTAATTGGTGGATTGTTGATGCTCAATTGTCAATGTACATGGTTGACAATCAATTTTCAATGAAAATAGTTTGCAATCATTTGTAATCATAATCAATGTTAATCAGTTAGGGTGTTGATAATCAATTGCCAATTGAAGTGATTTGCAATCGATTGCTAATATATATAGTTAGTATTCGAATGTAATCATACTAAAGAATGATTGGTTAGAATATTGATGATTGATTGCCAATGGGTATTGTTGGAAAGCAGTTTCATTTTGGGTAAAACAATCATAATCGATGTTAATCATTAGTTTGTTGATATATATTATATTTATTTGATTGATACATTATGCATTTACATAAAATAATATATTGCAAGCTAATTGA